GCTGCTGCTATTGCTGCTGCTGCTATTGCTGCTGCTGCTATTGCTGCTGCTGCTATTGCTGCTGCTGCTGTTGGTGCTGCTGGTGATTGTGCTGCTGCTGCTGCTGCTTCACATAGTGTTATTGCTGTTGCCATTGCTGCTATTGCTTCTGCTGCTGCTGCTCATTGTACGATCATCGACGCCTCAGCTCATTGCTGCTGCTGCTGCTGCTGCTGCTGCTGCTGCTGCTGGTGCTGGTGCTTGTGTTGTGTTTGTGGTGTACAGACAGCTCACTTCGAGTACGGTCGTAGTTTTGAGGAGTTGTTGTTTCCATTTTCATCTTTTTTCAGAGATGCACCGCAACCATTGTTTCCTTGTGATGCAGCAGCAGCAGCAGCAGTAGCAGAAAGCTGCTTTCTTTATCTAGAACAAATGCAGCAGCAGCTGCAGCACTACAGAGCCTTTGAACTCCTCAGAACTGCCGGCGATAGAGCTGACTTTCTATTGACGTAAGATTCATTATTATTAATTCTTATAAATTTAATTATTATTAATTATTATTAATTATTATAAATTATTATTAATTATTATAAATTATTATTAATTCTTATGAATTTAATTATTATAAATTATTATTAATTATTATTAATTATTATAAATTATTATGAATTGAATTCTTATAAATTATTATGAATTGTTATGAATTATTATTAATTATTATAAATTATTATAAATTATTATAAATTATTATGAATTGAATTATTATGAATTATTATAAATTGAATTATTATAAATTATTATGAATTATTCTGAATTATGAAACGAATTATTGTTGTGAATTATAAAATGAATTAATGAATTATTATGAATTGTTATGAATTTAATTATTATGAATTATCATGAATTGTTATGAATTGAATTATTCTGAATTATTATGAGTTATGAATTATTACGAGTTATTATCAGTTATTGTGAATTATTGTGAATTATTATGAATTATTATGAATTGAATTATTCTGAATTATTAAGAATTATTATGAATTATTAAGAATTATGATGATGGTGATGATGATTGTGCTGGTGGTGCTGATGTTTCTGCTGCTGTTGTTGCTGCTGCTGCCGATGATTATACTGATGATACTACTACTGCTGCTGCTGCTGCTGCTGCTGCTGTTGCTAGTGATGATGGTAGCTTTATCTCTTTCACAGGTCTTATCCCGCTTGCTTACGTTTCTGTTTGTACTGTGTCTCCTGCTGCTGCTGCTGCTGTTGCTGCTGCTGCTGCTGCTGTCGCTGTTGCTGCTGTTGCTGCTGCTGCTGCTGCTACTGCTGCTGCTGTTGCTGCTGCTGTTGCTGCTGCAGCACG